AACGAGATTGATGTTTAATGATGCAATGAAATCTGCTTGGGATGATGCAGAGGATAGCTTTAATTGGGGGAAACCAGAATTGGTAGGAGACATTGATGCAATTTGAAAAACTAGTAACAACTAACTATAATTAAGCATGGTTAAAAAAAATGTTTTTTGGATCTGTGGCCTCGTTTTAGGATGGCTATATTGTTTAGGACACTGATAATAATTGGTTTCAATGAAATGCAGTTCTTTTTTCCCATAATGCAAACAAACTGGTGTTATGTGTTGTGTGTGGATCTGAAAGGCAGAAGGTGTGACATTCTGGACAGTTCATCTGCGAAAGCCAAGAATGAAGAGCGATATGGAGAAATGCCATCACTAGTGGTAAGTATGCAGTGTCCAGATTTATTTATGCGCTGAAATGGATTATTTCCACAAGTTAATCTTATATGTTTTGTTTTGTGAAAGCTGAATATGTTGGCCGATTTCTTGGAGCACCATGGATTTAGAAGCAAGGCAGCCTGTATACGTGAACTTCAACCTAAAAGAATTGGGCTACTTTGGAGGGATGCAAAGCAAGTGTATGACTACGGGGTGGCAACAATGCGTCACATGGAGACATACATGGGAGAGGGAGCGAAGGGATGGGATTGTGGTCTGTCGAAGCTAAATCACAAGCCACTTTTGGTCCTACGTATGAAGTACTGTACAGCAATTTTACTCCACGAGGTGAACGAGTTGATGGAGATGGTAGAAAACGAGTCTTTGAAAAACGATAAGATGCTTAAGGGGAAGAATGTTGAGTGAAAAGCAATTTTGATCCTCTGACTTTGTGTTGTTGACGGGATGTTTTTTTTGTTGTTTTGAGAACTAAGGGTTTTTGTGTTTTTTGGTTGATTTGTTTTTTGGGGGAGGAGCCATTCCTTCACATGACATGGGTATGATGTTTTGGACGTATGCATGCGTTAGTAGTGGTAGGATGATCTTGTTTACGTGACAGATGTGTTTAATGCTCTGAATTATGCACTACCCTTGGTAATTCTTTAATTGCCATGCATTTTATTTAGAACTCAACAGTGGAGTTCATCCTAGTAGGAATTGATGATATGTTTACTGGGGTATTCTAAGAAGCAGATGATTTTGTTGAATGAGACATTTATACATGCCGATTACATTATGCAATATATATTTGGTAAATATGTGATCACATAACGTGTATATACATTAAGCAGTGCCCTGATACACAAAGATAGTT